TTCTTACAAATTTTATTACATGCTAAAGCTAATCTATATATTAATAATGCATAAAAAACAATATTTCAAAAGACCTGGAAGTTTCTTCTTTTACAGTGTAAGCAGCGTCATGAAAATCTATGCCCTGAGTTTGAGAAAACGAAAAAATGCAGTAAAGGTAAGCATTGTCCTTATCCACACAAATCACAATCATCTTCTAACAAACAAAACCATTTAAAAAGAAAGTACAATATACCTAAGAATCAAATGACACCTCCTGTTACAAAGGATACTTCCATTTCTAATACTGAAAACAGGCTTAGGTATTATGAACAAGCAAGTACTTTAAACAAAGCACTTGATAAAAGAAGAGAGAATATTATTAAAAAAGTACAACTTATGAAAAGGGTAGAGTTTGTAACTTATTCTAATACAACTGAAATATCTGATAGTAATACTAATTTAGAAGTAAGTGGAGATAATGATAAGTCAGAAATTATTTCTGATCCAAAAAAATTAAAACGACCTCCCATAGGTATTCTACCTGCTTATATACCGATTGATTAATGCAAAAGAATATACTTTTATGGCTCATACACTTTGTATGGAGTTCTTTAGTATTTATTTATTTCAATTAACATATCACGTTTATGTAATTTGATAAAACAAATTACTTTTGGACTAGTAACAAAATTTATATTTCTAGTTAATAAAAGAAGTTACATTTGTATTATGTTATGTTCAAACATATACAAAACAATAAAAATTATATTTTGTAACGTGTATACAAACATGTAAATGAAGAATATATATTTGACAAAAAGAAAGTATTTTATCTATACACAAATTATAATCATTTTACAGGCATCATAGTTTTGTTTCTTTTATTTTCCTAAAATAATAAAATCCAATTTAAGAGAAAAACAAAAATTATTGTTGTGTATAAAAAAAAAGATATTCTAACAAATATGATTAACAAAATGTAGGTAATGCTTATAAAAATTCTTCATACATTTTTCACATATGCATACATAAATGTACAATTTATTTGCATATATTCCATGAACAGAATGTTAATAAAATTAAACGTTATTTTATAAAACAATTTGTACAAATATTTTACAAACATAAATAGATTATTTCAAATTTGTATTGTTACAATTTCTGTACATCCTTTTACAATTTAAAAAACAAATATTTAATTGTGTTATTTTAACTATACAAAAGGATCCAGTTATTAGGATGATTGTATGCCAACAATATTGGACTATGTAATAGTAATGAAATTGTGTTTTCATTTGCTGTGTTTGATATTATGAACCATTGTTCCAGCCAGCTGCTCATATTTTCTAATGACATATTTGCAGGATTTACACCCCTAAATGAAAGTGCCTAAA